TATTAGGCAGAATTTATGTACCTCTAGTGTTCATTCAGACTTTCATCATCCACGGTCGAGGAGGGGAGACAGAACACTGTCAAATTTACTAACCTTGTAAAATAATCGTATTACAAGTAATATTACAAGAATGTGTTTATTTAATTTAAAAATATAGTATCAATAATTTAAATTAATATCTACTACACGTGACAAAGAGTTCGGGGGCATCTGAATTTATTTTTGTCCCCGTTTTATAGGATGGTTTATTCCATTTCACCAACAGGCGACAAGCCGACATTGAAGCTCTGAATGTGGATTTAATAAGCGGCAAGCCGTGTATATGTGGAGCCATAATGGCGGCTTCAGGGTTTTAGTTTCGTAGCTGACGGTTGTTAGTCTTTGCCCCGCCCACTTAGTAGACACGTGTGTTTTAAGTTTGCAGCATGGCTTCATTGGCTAAGAAAAGGGCAGTAGGTTTTGGTGAAAAACCCGAGGAAAGTGACAACAGCTCCGATGAGAATCCAGAGGATGAAGACGATTCCGGAGAAGAGGACAGTGAGGCGTCAGATGAGGAAATTAATGAGGTAAAAGAACAAACACGTCTTAGAAGGGAGGCATGGCCTTGCTAACTAGTTAGCTAAGTCAGCAGTAGGGCTAATGTGAACGGGAAGGCTCATGAAAATAATTTTTTGGTTAATCATGTGAGAAAATAAATAACTAATATACTGGAATATGTTATTTCGAAGATACTGTACTTGAATACGCTGTAATAAGTTAACCCTGTGAAACTCATATCGGAAAGTTTCGCACAACTATTCAGTTTATGGGTTACAATAAAACTTGCAATTACGACTTCTACGCTTTCAGGAGGTCGTTGTAGACTTTGAAGCTCACACCATCTCAGACAATGACTTCAACGGCATAAAGAAGCTGCTGCAGCAGGTTTGGGTTCACTATTGTTATTTCACGTTTCAAATACTGTGTGCAAGCAGCTGTCAGTGACGTCATTTCTGTTATGTTTGGATCCAGCTTTTCTTAAAAGCTCATGTGAATACATCAGAGATGACAGACATCATCATCCAACAAAATCATGTTGGAAGTGTCGTCAAGGTGAGTAACTCGGTAGTTAAATATAAAAAGGATTTGTACATTATTTTTGTTTATTTCTCCAGTTTCAACCCAAAAACAGCTGTGCTCAGAAGTTTACATACATGATCAAGGAAATATATGTCATGAAAATTTGGGCTTTCGGTGACTTCTTTGAACTGTTCATCTTAATGCAAACAATGCATACTGCACACATCTTAATGACTTAAAAAACTGCATTTGGGAGTACATGTTTGAATTTCTTTTGGAGTTTTATTAATCCAAATGGGATCAGAAGCAAACATGAGGAACCAAAGAGCTGAAATATACATACATTTATTTAAATATTTTGATTAGGGGTGTTGAAGGTTATACAGTGTCTTGACTTGATGAGGCCAAGGCCCATTTATCTTATTTGTAATCATTTACTACAACTGGTAGTTTATCTTTAACAGCAATACTCAGAGCAGTTATTCGAATGTGGGACAACTTTGCCAAGATCTGGACAAAGACCTAAACTGTCACCCTGAGATGAGTTGTTTTGGATGTTCAGGAACCACCCAAGTTCAAGCTGTGAACTGGAAACTGCTGGAACACCAGCGTCAATTCACTGTCCACAGAGAATCCTTTGAACCTAAGAACACTATACTTTCAAACATGGTGGTGGCAGCATGATGCTCTGGAGCTGCTTTGCTGCTAACAGTATTTCTACATTGTACAAAGTGGATGGCAACATTAGGCTGGAATAAATTCAAATGTGTGCACCCAAGTGTTTTCTTTTTTAAAAGATGTATGTTGTGCAATCATTCCACCAGGAAAAGAAACAGAAAAAAAATCATTTAAAACCCAAACCTTGACATTCATGCTCATTCACATTCATTTCTGAGCAGCTGTTTATTTACTTGTCTCTCTACTATGCTCCAGCAAGCTGAGGTGCCCGAAGACAGCGACGATGATGACGACCCAGATGAAGTGTTTGGCTTCATCACCATGCTCAACCTCACAGAGAGAAAGGTCAGATGACTAGCAAACTAAAACGAATTAGGTTTGAATGGGCTGGAATATGTCACTGTTTTTTTTTTTTTTTTATTTTAATATAAATTGTCATACCTACGTCTGGAACTGTTCACAGGGTGTACAATGTGTGGAGGAGGTGAAGGAGCTGATTGTGGATCAGTGTGAGAAGAATGCTTCTCATATTGTGACAGAACAGCTGGAGAAGATCTTTAATGATAACAGCAAGCCTGTGGGGCTGCTGCTAAGTGAGCGCTTCATCAATGT